TTCAGTTGTAATAAAAACTGTCTGCACTCCTTGCTTATTTGTAGCAATGGAGCGTGAGTAGTTCCGTATATCCTCCAGTGAGAGGTAAACATATGTATAATACTGGTTAAATTCTGAAAATATTGATGTTTTATATATTTATATATCTATGTATTATATGCTTCATGCATGATACAGTGATGTATGTACTTTCGGTGTTGTGCCTGAAAGTAAGTGATTAGTGCATCATCAACCTGCCGGTAAAATAACCACGGCATTCCTATCAGTATGGCTAGTCCTCCACCGGAACGCTAAGGATGTTAACTAATGCATGGCACAAAACCTAAATGATCATTCTGGGTTATTAGGGTTTAACTTATATATATATAGAGTAACGCGATCATAGAAACTCTGCACCGTAGTCTCTAGTGGGTACTTTTTACGTATACCGTTGGATCATGATCTAATGGTCACCAAACAAAGATGCTTAAAATTAATTGTCAAAATCTACCTAATTTAGTTATTAACTAAATAGAAAATTTCTATGACTTATTCATTGTGATCTAGTTCTATAAGGAAAAACTCTTCAGATTAATAAAAAAAATTATTTTTATTAACTAATATTGAACTGATCGAATCTAACCACCAGATGGTTTTATCTCCAGCCAACTACAACTCTTCATACTCAAACTTGATTTCAACTTGATATCATTGAATTGAGCAAAATTTCATGTTGTATCATGGAAAATTTTAACTTCATTAATGTTTATTGTACAAGAAGATAGCACCAGATTAATTTTTTAGATGTTTTTTTTTAATTTAATTTGCAACTGGGAAAAATATTTTTCTATTGACGACATTGGAAACAATAAAAGAATGAAGGCAATGGATGAGGTTCACAATATTTTTCTCATGTTCAGTTTAAAAATAAAATAATGATGGCAAAGGTTTTTGATATGCAATCCTAATTTGAAACTTAATAAGCACTTCTAATTGGGTTGATTAAAAAGTTAAAGAGAGAAAATAAAGATTAATTTGACCAAAAAATTAGAAAGACCAACCTAACAATGGCGTACCCCAATTGAAGCTACATAATGGGTTAACCCGTATAACATACGTAAAAGGGTCAAAATATTTACTTATATTAAATTTCAAAAAATTAAATAGACTTTCCTTATAGAACTAGATCACAATTAATAACTCATAGACATTTCCTATTTAGTTAGGAACTAAATTAGGTAGGTCTTGACAATTAATTTTGAGCATCTTTATTTAGTGACCATTAGATTGTAATCCAACGGTATACATAAAAAGTACCTACTAGAGACTACGGTGCAGAGTTTCTATGATCGCGCTACTATATATATATATATAAAACTACTAGACGAATGACCTAAGTGATCCTCATGAATGACTCGTTCTTCTGGATTACTTAGATCGTTTAACTGGTATAAAGGATAATATTACCAGTCTAACAACCACGGCATTCCTATCGGTATGGCTAGTTCTCCACCGGAACGCTAAAGATGTTTAATTGGTTTATATGTATCACAAGATATAGTTGAATGAATAATTCAAATATTCTTCAAGAATGGCTTGTCCTTCTAGTTTGCTTGGATTAATCAATTGACATATCAATAACTAACTAACCTAAGAAGTTGTTGTGTTATGACTACTACCATTGGTTGACCTCAGAAGTAGTCGTGTTATGGTTTATTATGTATGCACCTACTATTATGAAGACAAACGAATAATTCAAGTATTCCTCATGAATGACTTGTCCTTCTGGTTTGCTTGGATTAATCAGTTGTCATGTATACCTCCAACTAACCTAAGAAATTTTTGTGTGATGGTTTATATACATCAAACCTACCAATTGACTTTTTAGTAAATTGGAAGTTGATTGTTGTAAGGTAGCATTTCTAGCATTTAACCAATATAACGCATATGGGATCCTTGAACTGAAGGATATTTTTTATTATTTTTTTACTCTGTCTGCACTTTTTACTCTATCGGCACATAACTGTTTACGTAGACTCATTATTAATCTAAGTTCACATCACAAGCTATCACATGCTGTCTTATTCGAATTAGCAACTTTACTATTTTATTTCATTTTCAAATTGTTAAAACTCTTCGTGGGATCAATACTTGGACTTAAAACCAAAAAAACTACAATTCGACCACTTATACTTGGGTGTATAATATTAATCCGATCACTAAAAAGTGCGAATCAATACATTAAAACAACTGAAAACTAAAACACGAGAAAAACAAGCATCATATAATATAGTGAAGATGAAGATGTTTACCTCGCCAAATCCACCTTTTCCTTCCATTGTCTGGAAGTCAAATTAATCAACACCCATTTTTCCCCTTTAAAACGTACATGTTTAGCTTCTTTCTTCTGTAACAACTTTAATAGAATTTTTTGATCTTCCTTTGAGACATTAACATCAGCCAACTTCTTCTCCTGTAAATTTTGACTATTTGAAAAAAACCAAAAGGCAAAATCACATATTTCTTCATTTTGAAAGAATTACCATCCTACTCTACCATCCTACCAACAAAATTCTGCTAGATGATCCCATACACACATACCATGTCGCTCTTTCCTCTCACGTAAGTTCTTCATTTGCTTTTTGTAATGGTTCTGCATATACTACTTTGCTACCATAATCTTCTATTTCGTAATATTATAGGATTCTTCATCCGACAATGGTTTTGGCTCTTTTCTTCCAGAAGCCATGGGATCCTTCTTCTTGGTTGATGACCTCAAACGATCTCGTGGATCATGCCTTTGAAACCAACACCTTGCTGAATGCATTCATTTCCCTTAAGATTAAGAGGCAATATATACAAACTCACCTAACAAACATTTCATTCCAAAACTGATATTGTTTAGCCCCAAAAACAAATAACAGACTGAATGCACGTATATTGCATTGATAAGGTGAAACATCACAAAGAGTATTCAATGTATTAAATGTACACATATCTACATGTATGTTTATTGTGTACAATTATATCGAGAGAGAGCGATAGACAGACAAATAAACATCTACATAACTTAACACATTCCAAAACTCAAATCCGTTATAAATTTCTTTATTTCCTAAACAACTAAGCCAAATAATTCCAAACGTCACAATATCAGGTTTCCCCATAACTGCCATACCAAAGATACCTCCATTTAAAAAGCATAGAATAAATAAGCAAAAATGATGGTGTGGTCTAAAAGCCCAGACCCACAGAAGGGCACCCCAAAAGGTTACCTTGATAATTAAGATTTCAGAATATGTGATTATAAAAGAAAAATAACCTAAAAATAAAACAAAAAAAAGGAAGAAAACAAAGATTGCCATGTGATGTTCAAACAATAACACCTTGTGTTTTGATGCAGGTCAAGAACCTTAAAGGGATCAAGATTTGTATTGTTCAAACCCATATGCAGCCCTTTAAGATTCGAATTATTTAAACCCAAATGCATCTTATTCAAGAATATGCAAAGCCCAAGACCGAAAACCTTATCAGAAGATATATGCTAAAAAACAAATCAATAGGCAGATGGATGGGTTTGGGATTAACTCCAAATTTTCGTGTCCCTGCAAAGAAAGTCAAACAAAAAAAAAGAAAGAAAGATTGTTATGTGACGGCCATGCAATAATCACCATACCTTGGTAGAGATCTAAAAAACTTGAAGGGATCAAGATTTGTATTGTTCAAACCCATATGCATCTCATTTAAGAATATGCAAAGCCCAAGCTTGAAAAACTTAGAATCATGAGATATCTTAAAAATACAAATCAACCTGCAGAAAGATCGGATTACTTCCAAATTGTTGGCTCCCCAAAAAGGAAAAAAATCAAGGAAAGAAAGATTGATGTGTAACGGTCAAACGATAAACACCATACCTTGATACAAATCAAAAAGATTGAAGGGATCAAGTTCAGTTTGTATTGTTTAAACCCATAAGCATCTCATTCAAGAATATGCAAAGCCCAAGACTAAAAACCATAGATTCATAGGATATCTTCAAAAACACAATCCAACATGCAGAGAGATTGAATTACCGCCCAAGTTGTTGGTTCCCCAAAAAGAAAATAAAATCATGGAAAGGAAGATTGCTATGTGATGATCAAACGATAGTACCTCATACTTTGATAGAGATCAAGAAGCTCAAACGGTTCAATATTTGTATTAATCAAACCTATACGCATCATTCAAGAATATAAAATCCCAAGCTGAGAACCCCCGAATTAGAAGATGTCTACGAAAAAAAAAAATCAAGCAACAAGATCGGATTGCTATGTAATGGTCAAATGACAATACCTCATACTTTGATAGAGATCAAGATATCGATTGTGAAAGTGCTGCCTTTATAGGGAGTGCCAAGAGGGCCAGGGATTGTTTCAATCAATTGCGTGAGATTGTCGCTTTTAGGGTTTACGCTAATGCCTGACACTTCTATGTACACTCTTGGAACCCCTTCTACACCCGAGCGAAGTCCACCATTTTCGTTGCAATTTGATCGATTCTGTACGTGAGAAAGGGGGAGGGGGGAGGGGGAAGGGTTGTAACGGCAGTAAATTGGGATTAGTTCACATGAGGTTTAATGTTAGACTTTGATGTTTAGGGATAAGAATGAAATAGTTGTGATTTTGGAGGGTAGAAGTCGAAAAAATAAGTTTTTCAGATATGCTGATATTTTACTGTTTAAAGTAATATAGATATTTCATAGCACTGAAGCCCCCACTGAATGTTTTCGCATTATAGCCTTCATATTGGTTGAGCCGCCCTTGATTGGTATGATAGTAGTAATGTGAGAAGAAAATACATATATCCGTGTTATTGAATGAGGGTCCACAAACACAGGATCTTATCAGTAAACAACCAATGAACTCTTACTTCAGTTTACATCCAACCTCCAGACACTATCCACGAATACTTTTTTTCTGCATCACAAGTAGCTTAAAAGTGTCATTTCATTTGATATCAAACTTGCAAAGTGATTCTCAATCATGGTCCATTCATTAACCCCAGCATCAGCCCCTGCGGTGCCCATTTTAACAACACCCAGAAACACCCACATTCCATCTTTCGGTTTGCAGAGAGTGTGGGCTTGCCATCAAGGTTCTTATCAAGCTTTTGAGCAAAAAATTGTCCATCGCAGGTTTGTATATGCTCCTTTTACTAAATTTCGTTGCTGCATGTAAAACTTATATTGTAGATATAAACGCTAAAGATGCATGTGACCTTATTTCTTTCTTACAATTAGCAAAAAATTGAGAATGGTATAAATTATAGAAGTAACTTGGGGGAATCTCTCACGTATTGGTACCAGTCTGGCATTTATTTATAGTGATTAATAAGTTTTAGAAAGCAGGACATCTCCCAAGTTGGACAAACAGGGAATTAAGTTGTACATTCTTTAGTTGTATGCTAGATTTGTTGATGGTGTACGTACCCATGTGTATATAAAAGAGGCACCGGAATTTATAATAGGTGTCCTATCTGCTCATTTTCCCGATCTTAATAACATTGTCTTTTTTCTTATCGAAACCAAAAAAAAAAAAAAGTTCGATCGTCACTATGTAATGTAAGCTTTGGGTAGCTGTGTTTTTGAATAAAACGCATCGTATTAAAAAAAATAGTAACTATCTTAAACAAACAATACTAAAAAAGGTCCTTCAAAAATTGTCAAATATCTTGGGAGTTATTTGGGAATACAGTAACAATGAGCAAAGGTAATAAAATGATGAATCAATTTGTCTACAATTAAAGATTGCCTTTCTTGTGGATTCATTGGAAATTAGGAGGTTAAATTTATTTATTACTCATGATTTTCAATGAGGTTTTCAGACATGAAACGTTGCATCATGTGTCATGACTTTTAAATGCAGGACTGTTACACTTAGCCTAGCAGGTGCATTGCTTGGCTTGAACTTTAGTGACAGAAGTGCAGGTGCAGCCAGAAGGCCGCCCCCACCCCCGCCCCACCGGAGGAGAAAAAGGACCCTAATGTGGGTGGAGTTACGGCGAAAGTTCTAGCTAGCAAGAAGAGGAAGGAAGCCATGAAAGAATCGATGGCCAAGCTAAGAGAGAGAGGAAAGCCCATCAAAGAGCCCTCTGATTAGTTTTTCAACAGATGTCTATGTTCGGATAGTGTTATTTCCATTCAGGTTGTATTCTTGCAGTTTAATTGTGTGACAATTTTAGTGGGACTTGATTCATTTTTACTTAACTTATGCTTGTAGAGTACCATAAAAACAGGTGCAGTATTCAAATTAACCTTCTTATATCAAGGGTCTGTGTAGAAAGTAGTGTGAGAAGTCAACTAAATTGGACGATTCAAAGCATCCTCCACATTTTCTAGAATTGTTGGAATTGTTTGTGGTGGAAGAAATTAGGGGATGTTTTGAACGAGAATGCATTATTTATGCTTTATATGTTGTCAATATGTTGAAGATGACATTCATAAATAAA